TATATATATATATATATATATATATATATAAAAGAGTTAGTATATATAGAGTATATTGTTGCAGAATTGATGATCCAATATAAGATTGTTAGTTATAGTATTTTAGGATCATATACTCAAAGACTTGCATTAAAGTTTGTCTTTTTAATTTTATGACTTTGTGCATATTAAGTTTGTCATATAAATATTTGAATCATTGTAGTATGAACCTAATTCAGTTATTAGAAATGCATTATAATACATGAAAGGAAATGTTTATCTTGAAACATAACTATAATGATTCATGTATGACAATTTTTATATAATTTTGAGGAATTTCAAGCTTTAAGTTAAATGTTCATATTTAGTTAATTATTGTGATAGGGATAATCTCTAAAGAGTATATGAGCCAAGTAGAAGAATGTTAGAAAAATATTATGTGACTCATATAATTTATGTTTAATTTAAATATCCTATTAATCTAATTAATTGTTTGATTATAATGAGCTATTACAGAATAATAATTAACTATTTCATAATTTTCATGTTTTATTGATTCTTAATGGAGGACTATTATAATAATAAGATAGAGAATTCCTAATCTTGTCTATAAAAAGACTAATTTATGGTGTTCTATTATCTAATAGACTTAAGGAAAAACAAAGATTAGAAGAGTTCTTTTTAATTTTTTAAATATCTAAATATTGTTACATATTTAATAATTTGACAGCAATGACTATAAGAGTTAAGTTTCCATTATTTAAGTTATTCATTAAGATTTTTTTTGTAACGACCCGCCATGGTCTCTATACTTAGTGGAATCGCACTACAACTAGTTAACTAAGAGAATATTAAACTGGATAACACATACATACATGCATAAATATAAAGATTAAAATAATTAAGTTTCTGTCAGCCACATGCAAACACAAAACACAATGCATAGGCTCCATACAACTCAAAATAAACTTAAATCTCACATTCATCCCACCTATGCATCAAAATCCTCCTTTTTTCTCAAAATCTCAAAAATAAGATTTTCTTCAATCCATCTATGGATTCTCAGCATTCATGCATCAATTGAGTTTCAAAACTCACATACAACCTAAACAACAAATAGTCTAGCTTCCATTACCTGAAGATTGGCTCAGATAGCCAAAAACTGAACAAAAGTAGAATTTTCCTTCGTAACTCAACCCGGAACTTCAATCTACCCAAATCAAGCTTTCTAATCTGAATTTCAAGAAAAGACAGAAGACATTAGTGGTCTAAAGGAGAAAAAGAATCATACAGAGAAATTTGGGAGAGAAAGGAGCTCACAGACCTAGAGACCTTCTCTCTAAAACTTCTCTCTAGAAACCTCTGATTCTCCTCACGGCCCACACCCCTATTTATAGGCATTCCGGAGTGGCCAGAACGGCCTGTACCGAAATCGGAACGGCCCGTTCTATACTCCTTCGTCATATGTAAAAACCACATGCAGAACGGCCCGTTCTGAAATTAGAACGGCTCGTTATGGGACTCATCCGGAACGGCCCGTTCTCCATTCAGAACGCCCCGTACTCCCTTCCAGAACGGCCCGTTCTCCGTCTAGAACGGCTCGTTCTCCAACCAGAACGGCATGTTCTCCCTCCAGAACGGCCCATTCTCAATCACAAATTACAGGTCAATTTAATAGCTTGGAACGGCCCGTTCTGGGCTACTAAATCACTTTTTTTTTAACTACGTTACATTTTTTCTCTTCCACATAGTGCATCTTTGATTTTATATCCATTATTAACGTTTAAACAAAAATTATATTAAAATTAATGTAAAAATAACTAATCATTTCTTTTACTAATTCACATCCGATGAAATTTGATGTGAATCTAATCAATTTTTTTTAACATTTTTGTTTTTTTGATCGTGACATGTGCAAATTCAATAAGAATGCACTTAATTATATCCTAATCGTGCGTATAAAATCAACTATTTTGCAATTAACATTAGTCACACAAATCTATTAAATCGAATATTGAAATTTATAGTTTAAACTTTGCATTTGAATCAACAAACTTAAACCAAAACACACATGATATAGTTTCATTTTATTGATATGATATGACACACAAAAACAAAGTAAACACCATTAATCCTTTATTATATTCCAACACATCTATCTAGCTAGGTAGCTTTTAATTGCTTGCATCTTTTCCTTCCGTTCGATCCATCTCCCGACATAAATGCATGCATGGTGTGTTACTACTTGCGACTGTTGTGTAGTGCTTCCAAGAAAGAAAAGAATAAAAAAGTAGTTATATATATATATATACACCTCCTCTCCTCAATACGAACTTCAACTCAATAAACAAATGTTGGAGAATCAACTCAATCACAGTTGCATCTCAAAAGCCCTGCTTCAAGGTCATAACCAAATCCTTCACACTCAACTTGTATTTCTCACTCATCTGCAATATAAACTAGTTATCAACTAACGACAATTATAGATCATACAACTAGTTTTGAATTGGCTTGAGAAAACGGAATATATTTTTGCAATATGGTTAATTACGTATACCTGAGCAATTATGATGATGTTGAGAAAAGAGTTTCCAAATGGCAATACGGTGCTATAGGCTATTGAGAGATGAACCTGTTTTAGTAGGGCCAATAGCTTAATCATGATGCCCTTTCGTTTCTCACAATAGATTCTAATCAGTATTTCCTTCTCTAAACCTCTTGCTTCAACTTCAGGGAGCACTTCATTGGCTCTATAATAAGTACATAAGTTTGTTTCACACGATTTCGTGATGATCAATGACTTCATACTTAGGTTATTGTTAATCCCTTTTTCCAGCATTGCTATTCGTTGTTGAAGTTGTCGCATGTAGTTGATGGCTTCCCCGAGCACAGAGGCCTTGTTGATCTTTTATTTTAACAAAATAATACCCCAAGTCAAAATCCCAAAAATGTAGCTGCTTTTTAAGTTTAGCTTTTAGCTAGATAAGAAAATATTTCTAACAATACTTGCAAAATATATATATATA